CTACTGAGCATGCTCCTCTGGCCTCAGAAAGGAGCTTCTATGGCTGTGGGAGAGGGACCTCTTCCCGAGGAGCTATGTGTGAGGCAGCCCTGAGCCCCTACGTGGGGCGTATTAGGCAGCTGCACAGCTTAGAGGGAACTTAGGCATAGACCACTGGTGGTGGTCCCACAAGCCACTGAATTCTATGGGAACAGAATTGGACCTTTAATTTGATGGAAGTTGGTATGTAAATGTAAATTATTTACTACTGAGCCTACTCTAGAATCCAAACAATAGGTGAAGAACTGTCCCAGATTGAGGTTCTGATAGAGGAGGTTTTGGAACAAACAGATACACTGAACTATAATACGCAACCTGTACTAGATGATATTTACCCAAGATTTCTGAAGCAACTACTTCAGAGCAATTACAGAACTACTAACTGTGGTATGTAACCAATTGCTTAAAAATCAGCCTCTCTACCAGATGACTGGAGGATAGCTAATGTGATGCCAATTTTAAAAAGACACTACACAGATAATCCTGGCAACTAGAGGCCAGTAAACCTAACTTTAGTACCTGGCAAAGTGGCTGAAACTGTAGCAAAGAGCAGAATTAGAAGACAAACAAATGAACACATTTTGTTTGGGTAGAGTCTCCATGACTTATGTAAAGGGAAATCATAGCTCACCAATTCTTTGAGGGAGGTCAATAAAAATGCAGACCAGGGTGATCCAGTGGATATAGTGAAGTTCGACTTCCATAAAAATCTTTGACAAGGTCTCTATAGCTTTTAAGCAGAGTAGGCAATTAAGGAATGAGAGGGAAGGTCTCTCATGGGTCAATAACTATTTAAAAAGGCAGGAAACAAAGAGTAGGAATATATGGTCAGTTTTCAGAATGGAGAGAGGTAAATAGCAGGGTCCATCAGGAATCTGTACTGAGACCAGTGCTGTTCAAATTAATAAAAAATGATCTGGAAAAAGGATAAATAGTGAGGAGAAAAAATTTGCAAACAATACAAAATTACTCCAAATAGTTAAATCCAAACCTGACTTCAAAGAATTACAAGAGGATCTCTCAAAACTGGGTGACATGGTATCACAATAACAGATGGAATCCAGTGTTGATAAATGCAAAGTAATACACATTGGGAAATATAATGCCAACTATACATATAAAACAAAGGGGTCTAAATTAGCAGTGATCATCAAGAAAGATAAATAGCTATTGTGGCTCCTTCTCTGAAAACATCCACTCAATGTGGATCAGCAGTCAAAAAAGCTAACAATAAAGCTAGCCATGAGGAAAGGGATAGATAATAAGAAAGTAATATCATACTGCCACTATATAAATCCATGGTATCCTCACATCTTCAGAGCTGCATAAGGTTCTGGCTGTCCTATCTCAAAAAAGATATATTAGAAACGGAAAAAATACAAAGATGAGCAACAAAACGATTAGGGACATGGAACAGCTTCCATACAAGGAGAGATCAAAAATATTGGGTCTGTTCAGAGTGGGGAGCAAGGATTGATAGAGCAGTGTTTCCTGATTTTATTTGACCACGGAACCCTTTTCAGCTTAAAATAATTTGAAGGAACCCCTAGGGTTCTCAGAATAAAATTTGGCAAACAAAAAAAAAAAAAAAAAAAAAAAACCACCCCGCCAGAATTGGTCGAGCAACAAAACCTGCAAAATACTCTGTCTCTTTAAGAGGGGGTGGGGCAATGCCGCATTCTCGCGGAACCCTTACTTTCGCTTTTCAGAACCCTGGGGTTCCACAGAGCACCAATTGGGAAACACTGTGATAGAGGTCTATAAAATGTGAACAGTGTGGTGTAAATGAATATGGAAAGTAAAGTGTTATGAAAGAAAGTATTATGTGAAGGGGTAAGTGAAATAAAACAGAACAAAATCACCCAACAAAAGTAATAGGCAGCAGGTTTAAAACAAACATATGGAAATACTAATTCACACAATGCACAGGCAACTTTGTTGCCAGTGGACGTTGAAAGCAAAAACTATAGCTGGGTTAAAGAAAGGATGGGTCCATCAATGGCTATTAGACAAGATTGTCAGAGTGTCCCTAAGCCTCTGGCTGCTAGAGGCTGGGACTAGCTGACAGGAGATGGATTGCTTGATGGTTTCCCTTTCATGTCCATTCCCTTTGAGAAATCTGGTAATGGCTGCTGTCAAAGGATTGGATACTGGGCTAGCTGAACAATTTGTCTGACCCAATATGGCTATTTTTATGTTCTAAGGTTTATTCCCTCAGAATAAGCACCATCTTCTCTGAAAGCAAACTGTAAAAACACTGACTACATGAGGCAATGGAAGGGTAGAGTAAAGACGGAGGACATTCTTAAGGAGATATTCTAATAAGAGAGCCTTAGAACTTAGGTGAGTGTCCAAAATGGATCTCCAAACTTTTGAAGGTTAATCACTAGCCTAATCAGCCTCCTCTTCCTTCCACCTCCAAAACATTGAACTGAAGCACAAAATAAATGGCTGTTTTCAAAAATCAATTTATAATCCCCAAATAAAAGCAGACATAAGCAGAAATTCCTAACACTCTACATTGTACTTATTTCATCCACACTTCTTACGATCTTGAAGGAATCACTGGCCCTTCTGAACTTTTTAATTAAAGAAATAAAAGGCTATTTAAGAGAGGGGAGGAGATTGCTGGAATCTATCCAAGTCCTAGCTGGGAAAGGAAGAGCTGCTAGATTTATATTAGATGAACTCATAAATCTTCATCCACCCTTTGCAGAGCTCTAAAGCTAAAAATAACTCCAGCGCCTGCAGGACTTCAACATTTGGATTAATCAAGTCTTGTGGTGCTAGAGGGAAAAAATGCTACAGGAACAAAGTGCTAGAGGATTCAGGGCCAGAGTGTACAGGCAAGGACGCAGCATCCAGAGAACCAACTGCTGTTTATTTTAGGTTCAAGCAGATGTTCTGGGATGATTACAGAAGAGGAAGGGGGGGGGAAAAAAATCTCAATCACAAAATAGTCTATTAGGGCTTGTCTACACTATGGAGAAGATGGCTGATGCTGCAGTTGATCTTCCAGGGTTTGAATTAGCGGGTCTAGTGAAGACCTGCTAATTCAAACTGAGAGGGTGCTCCAGTTGGTGCTGATAGTCCTGCTCCTCACAGGAGCAAGGGATGTGAGGATGGCGTCAAAAAACAATTTAAGGTACTTCAATCCCAGCTAAGTAACTGACATAGCTGGAGTTGAGTATCTTACATTTACTGGTGTGCCTGAAGCAAGCCAGATACAATTACCACACACTATGCAAATTCTAAAAATACTTACAAATAAGTAAATGATTTAGCAACTGGAGGGAAACAGGGAAACAAATCGGAAACTGCAAAAGAATACAAGTAAACAGGACTAGAGATAAGTGAGACCCACCGGCTACGTCTACACTGGCCCCTTTTTCGAAAGGGGCGTGCTAATTTTAAACTTCGGAATAGGGAAATCTTCGAAGTAGGAATAAGAGATCCTCCGGAATAGGGCTTTATTCCGGAGGATCGGGCCAGTCTAGATGCTTTTTTCCGGCTTTTCCCCAAGCCGGAAAAAAGCGGCGGACATCTTTATTTAAATCCCGCGGGGGATATTTAAATCCCCCGCGGATTTCCCTATTCCGAAGTTTAAAATTAGCACGCCCCTTTCGAAAAAGGGGCCAGTGTAGACGTAGCCACCCTGTTTTCTACAGCAGAACCTCAGTTACAAACACTTTGGAAATGGAGGCCGTGTGTAACTCTGAACAAAATATTATGGTTCTTTTAGAAGTTTACAACTGAACATTGATTTAATACAGTTGTGGAACTTTACTATGCAGGTGCTCTCCCTTCATATTTTTAGTAGTTTACATTTAAACACAGTACCATACTTTGCTTTTTTTGGGGGGGTGGAGGGAGAGGTTCTGTTGCTGCCTGACTGCATGCTTCTGGTTCCAAATGAAGTGTGTGATTGACTGGTCTGTTTGCATCTCTTAGGTTTTACTGTACTCTATATATTGTGTCCCCTTTTGTGATGGTACTATTTTGTCCCACTGCGTTTTCAATAAATCAAGCAATGGGGCTTTTGTAGCTTCCCTTGGGATGCTCCTCCATAATCAAACAGATCTTGCTGTTCTGAAGTTTCTCCTGATAGCTAGTTTTTCCTCACATTGTTCCTCAAGAGTGAGATGTGGTTCATACAAGAAACTTTTAGCCTCACTTTTGCTGATGTAGCATGCCTTATACTTACTACAACATTGAGAAGCAGAAGCCCTCTTTCCTCTCTCTCGCTAAGCTGTTTGTGGCTCCCCCTTCTGACCACCACCCATTACATCAGATGAAGCTTTGGAAATGCTATTTCCGTTGCAATTTTTTGACTAGCAAATGGAAGTCCGTATTAACAGATGTCACTCTAGTGACACTGCACTGGCATAAGTACTCGAGAGGTTATACCTTCCCTTTTATTTCCAGGAAGATTGTCACCTTTACATCTCCCAACAAGATTCCTAGTCACATAGCGCCTTAGCACATTCTCCAAAGGGCTCTTGGTTACTATTGCCACTTAACAGACTGAAGAAAGAATGATATTCTAGTTTCCCCAATAGATCATGTTTATCTGGGGCCATCTTAGCAGCAGGTACAGCTTGTTGTTGACTTCACCCAAGTTGTTTTTCCAGTTGTTACACTGGTTTTAGAGTGGCTGTGGGCCACCGAAAAGTGCTACCGAAAAGAAAAATAATGCAGTTGTTTGCGATTGAGGAAAAACAATTAAGAGTGCATGTTCAAAGTCATAAGATAGAAGGGGAAAATATGACATATCACTAGGCATATCAGAAGACTGGTTTGTGTTTTGATTGACACACTCATTAACAATACTGTGCTTAACTCAAGGAGAATGAAAGGAGAGAGAGCGAGCGAGCATTCAAACAATCGTTTCAGTTACTTACTTTAGGGTCTGCACACTTGAACTTTAACCTTTCCACCATCTCCAGCATGGCCACCTTCAGGTCAACAGGTTCTCTATTCTACAAGAAAGAGAGGGCAGAGGTCACTAAACAGCATGCATTTTAACTTTACCAAGCACAACAAGGATTTTCACAGGACAATGGGCTACAGCAATTTTTCAGCTAATTCTATCAGCCAAATTGCAGCAAACCCATGAATACATTTGCTTGCTCTTCTGAGACTATTTTTGTTCAAGCAAAAGGCTCAAGGAAGAAAAAAACCAAACCAGCCTCCAAGTGAGCTGAGAAGACTATTGGAATGAAAATGAAATGCAATTGCACAGGCTGACTCATTCATTGCTTTGTCTTATAGCTCAGCTGCACCCATGTTCACTGAATTAGGGCCCAATCCTATAAAATGCTCATTGCTCCCCAGCTACAACTAAAGCCAATGGCTCAGCAATTTGCAGGAAGCACTCAGGACTTTACAGGATAAGGCTCTTCCTGAGGCTCTGCAAGAATGGGGTGGCCTAGGTCCAGTAACATTTATTTTCTATAATGGGCACTAGCTGCCTGATAATTTAATCTTGCACTTTTTGTATATCTATTTATAAATGGGAGCAGTGAGGGAGATTATAAAAGGAAAGAACTAATTAAGGAAGCAATCAAGAGTTCATACTTCAGAAGAGAAGAAGTGAAGTGTGAGGCACTTATGGAATCCCTGGAATATTCGTTTCTTTGCTTCAACTGTTCTCTACAAAAAATTAAATTACACTTATTTGAAAAGAATGATCCCAAATACAAGAGTTAAACAGGGATCTTATGTAGGGATGTAAAGGAGTTGTCTGGTAGTTGCATCCCCCGCTGCCTCTGTATCAGAGGCAGCAAAGCTGGAGGGGGGAGAGCAGGAGCCAGTGCTTGGGGGAGCTGTCTTAAAAGCAGCAGTGTGGGGGGATGGGGTTGCAAGAGGGGAGGCTGCCACAAAGCAGACTCTCTCTGCTGCAGGTCCAGGCTTGCTGCAGGCAGAGGCTGCTCCACATCCCATCCACAAAGGGGTCCCGGGTCGTGCCAGGTCCAGTAGCTACCCCTGCTACAGCTCTGCAGTTTAAATGTAGTAAGAGCCAGGAGGACAGGGCAGACCCGGGACCTACCCTTGCTGCGGCTCTGCTGTTTAAATGTAAATAGAATGTCTATCAACTACACGATTAGTTATTCACTCACTTCCTAACAAGTAGGGGACTATACGAATAATTGATAAAACCTAGGTTTATCAGTTAATCTAGTTGACTACTCACGTTTCCCCCTTCCCCACCGTTGCTATACCAGAGGCAGAAAGGAGCCTCCAGCACTGGCACCGCTGTGCCATCTGCCTCCCTTCCCCCCGTTCTGCTGCCTCTGAGCCGCTGCTCATAGTAGGCCCAGGCTCGTCACAGACATTGGCTGCTCTGGCAGTAGCCCCTGTCCGTAGGGAGCTTGGACCCCCTGTGGACAGCGGCTGCTGCCACCTCACACTGCTGCCTCTGCGTCAGAGGCAGCAGTGCAGGATGGCAGAGGGCTCCCCAGGAGTTCACTGGCTGCCGGCCCCGCCCCTGGAAACTATAGAATAGTCAATTAACTACTAAGAATTTATGCCGTTAGTCGACTATTCTATTACCCAATATCTAACATCCCTAGTCTTAAGGCAATTTTTTCCAAAGATACACCTATCAGAATGGCATTTAAAAGAGCAATTGACATCCCATGGGAAATATTCTTGGGCATGTTGCACAGAAAGGAGGAAAGCATACAAGTACATCTCCTTGTGCATTTCTGCAGAGGCTACCCAGAACCCCAGTGCAAGAAGTGCACCTGCTTGTAGTTGCTCAGCAAGCCAGGTCTTTTTTTGGTGCCAACTGCCATTTTGAATTTTCCTGGTCTCGCCCCAGTCCTCAGCAGCCAGCAGTGTTATCACCAACACTACTGGCCAGAAGACCTTTGGCACCAAATACATGTCTGGGTTCAAAAGCCAAGAGAGATCAACACATTACCACAAGGAACCTGACAGCTCCAGCTGACGGGCACCATTGCTACTCAAAAACCTCACTGTCAATAATTCTTTTTGCCTGCCTGTGGGGGCAGAATCAGCACCCCAACAGCACATAGGAAAAACTGCATAGGCAGTAACCAAGCTCTCCCCCATGAGGGAGAGTCAACAAACCAGTTGAATCCAACCATGACCGAGGAATGTGGTCCAAACTCCACCAGAGAAGAGCCGTATAGTAGTTGGGCCACATTCGGTTTGACTACTCTGCAGCTTGGAGCTAGCCCCGCAGCTTGGACATATAGATTCAGAGGCGATGTGTAGTTTGGGGGAGGAAAATGTGAGGTCACATCCCCCTCCCCATTTCTGCCAGTATTTGCTGGCTGGGCCTCCTCCTTGGGTATTTGCTTTCCTCCAGCCCTGGGGAGAGGCACCAGTAAACAGCTGGGAGTTACAGGAAGGGAGCATTGTTTTAGCTATGTGGGGAGAGGTAGAAGCAAACACTGGGAAGCTGCAAGGAGGGGCCCTAAGGGAAAAAGAGTGTGCGTGACTCATGCTGTCAGCAACAGGTACCAGCTATCTCTGAGAAGACTTATGCCAGTGGGGCTTGAGCACTAAAAAGAGCAGCATGGAGGTTGCTGCAAAGGCACCATAACCGACTCCCTTGATCTGAGCCCAAGTTTCCACTAGAGCCTCAATGTCCACACTGCTATTGTTAGTGCGCTTATTAGAGCCCTACCTGGATTGGGAGGCTCAGTCCCAGCTACAGTGTAGATAAACCCAATGTGGTAGTGTCCTGCGGGGATGCTGTTCCCACTGCACAAAAGATGGGCATACCTATTACGCCTGACATCCGAGTCAAACCCACAAGAGCCAGTAATGGGAGTGGGGCTGACCGTGTAAGTCTGCTTCATTTTGTATGGTCTGAAAATGGAAACGCTTTGTTTGTGTGCAGTGTTTAGAAGGATAGCACTCATTCCTCTCCCCCAGATCAATCACTAGCCTGAAAATCAAAGCAGTTTTATGGAAGGGCTAGCCACAATCCCAATCCACTCCAGTTCTCCCACCCAATCTGTTGCTCCTGACGTTTGATAGCGTTGACATGGAACTCTTCAAAATGAGAGAGGATAAAGCAAGTGCTGCAGTGAACTAGCTAAATGTGGGGTGGGAATGAAGGGAGGCCCTCTTCAAAGAGCAACGGCTTCTTTCAAAAGATGTGGCAACAGTGATGCAATTGCTCCCTGAACATATGCCAGGTGAACCAGACAGGATTTCGTCAGGAATTGCTGCTGCAGAGGAGTCCCTCTGAACTGCTCCCACTCTATACCTCATGGACAGTCCCTTAACCAAAACATACCTCTCCATTTCATGATATTCTGCTTGTACTACATCACTTAGGGATGTAAGCGAGCAGTCGACTACCCAATAAGCATAAGCCTAAGCCTATTGGATAGTTGAGTAACTACTCGCTTCCCTCCCCCCACCCCGCTGCCTCCGTATCAGAGGCAGCAAGTCAGGGAGAGCAGTAGCTGGTGGGACCTGTCTCTGCAGCATGGAGCGGGTGGCAGGAGAGAGAGAGCCACAGGGTCAGGACGAGCCGGGACTATTCAGTCCTGGCTTGCACCGTTCCTGGGAGCTACCGCAGGGTAACCCACCGTGGGATTAGCTCCTGGGGGTGGCGTGGACTGGGATTCAACAGTCCCAGTTCACACCGCCCCTGGGATGCTGTGGTTCTGCACTTTAAAGTGCAGAGCCACATTGGGAGGGTCTCCCCATCGACTAATCAAGAAGTCAATGGAAATTCCATCCACTACTCAATTAACTGATAGTTAACATCCCTTGCCTATACTGCCTATTTCTGAGGTCTTCCTTGCCCACCAAACCCCCCCCCCCCCCCACATACACCCCACAACTGAATCAAAACAGGAATGTACTGACAATGTCATTTGCTTCTGTTGCTTAATCCTCACTGAAAGGTTTATATAGGGCCAGTTTGCAGGCACAGTATTCTCTATTCCTTGAGCAATCAATTATGACATCACATGTTCAGATTAGGATTTCAAAGGAGATAGAAGCAGCAGGAACAGAAAAAAAAAGAAAGCAACAAAGATTTCATTTTTATACAGGTGATCCAAGTATTCAACCAAATAAATGGTAACCTATTGAAATATGGTATAGAAGAAGGATTGTTTCCAAATAAAAGTTTTTCAATTAGGCATCAATGGCAAGTGTCCATCTGAGGTGAGACAGAAGGCAGAGTGATTTAAACAAAGCAAGCTACATTACAATGATCCTTACACATACTCTGACACAACAGAGACAGAAAACAAGAGCATTTTTCCTCTCAAAAGACATTAAATGTCAAAGCATAGAGATGGGAGCGTGTTGCATCTGATGTAAACTTCTGCTGTGCTCCTCCACAGTAGCTCCTATGATCCTTATTCAGCTACTAGGATCAGCTTAGGGCATTTACTGAGTCTTTCTTTTCACCTGCTATGTGGCTCTTCCACGGCATTAAGACATCGTCTGAATTATTTTTGATAAATAAGCTATCAGAGTGTGACTTTTGAAAGTCAAACAAGGCTGGCTATTGTCACTTGTTCATAAGATAGCAATGCCTCAGTGGGTAAGTAGCTATCCAATCACCTCACTTACAATTGTCCTTCCAGCTACTATTTTGAGCATGCTCTTTTGGAAAGAAAAACGGAGTCTGAGCGCGCGCACGCGCACACACGCGCACACACACACACACACACACACACTTTAAAATTAGGATGATCCAAGTCACTGATAAAAGTGTTTGTTACCCATTAAATATTCTCTCTCTATAGTGGATTCAGGTGTACAGCCTAGTGGATTCAGGAGTACAGCCAGCAATTTGAAGTTTGTTTAAAAAAAAAAAAAAAAACCCCCAACCTTATCCTTCCACGCACCTGAATAAAGGAGGTTGATTATATCCTTGGTACTGCAGGCCCACCATTGCACAAATAAGGGTACAGAGCAACCTCCATGCTCAAAGATTTCACTGAGTCCAGAGCACTCAGCATCCTGCAGGATTGCA